TCTTCGAACCAAGGCATCTTGTTATGTTATGGAGAGCTTGATTTGAAAACCTAACTTTTAATGATGTACTTCTAATTTAATGAATAATGGCAAATGGAAGTTATTTTTAGAGATATAAAATAATGTTGCCATGATATCCCCCAGCAACAAACAGATGCTTCATCAAATGGGAGCTTTTACAAATGGAAAACCTCAGACTCCCGAGGGCCAGTGATCTGCCTGGGAGTCAGGGAAGTGTTGGCTTACTTTGCTGGGCTAGACTAATTTGCGTTTCATGAATTTTTTAAACATCTCATTTCCTTCTTGCCAAATGTATGATGTTAGGAAATCCCCATTTCTGGGGAGTGGCACCTACCCATCCCCTCTTGGGGCTCTGACTCATTGCAAGCAGGACAACAGTAAGATAGGAAAGAAAGACAGGGAAAGAAGCTCCACTTCTTTTAACAGTCACTGACTCTGTTTGCACAGTTACACATGCAAATTACGCTATAGGAGGCAGTGAATACTGGTTTCATAAGCCTGTTACTGTTTTTTTCTCTACTTTGCCTCGTTCAGATAAATATCTGGTATCTGAACCAGGATCTTTTAAAGGTAGAATAAAGATCATTTTGCACCATCATTTGCAACTCTTGAGCTTAAAATCCTAATGGGAACAGTTTCTTTCTAGAAAGGAATCCTATTTTCAGCTTTTCTAAGTGTGAAAGGCAGAATGGGGGTGGGGTGGGGGGTCACACACTTCCCAGATCCTCTAGTTTAGGAATAACTAATTCAATAAACCTAAGAGAGTCAATGTCTGTTTTGCTCAGCTGTTCAGGAGAATCTGAACTTTGAAAACCACTCCATGGAATGTGATGGGCCATTTGACTCTCTGGATCCAGAGGAATATTTTTGAGCTGAGGTGGTAAAAGGCCTTGCCATGGCCTTGGGTCACTGTTAGGAAATATTTTCAAAGAACACTCCAGGGCCTTTCTGACTAGATTTCTAGTTTACTTGACTTTTGTAAAAAGTAAAACTTCCTTTAAAAATGATTTAAATTGATTTCTAGAACTTTACTATTATTTTATTTTAAAATTGCTCATTCAGAGGGAAAAATAACATTGCAGATGGCGAGTCCTTTAGAAATCCAAAGGGGTTTACTAACTTCCAGGCAAGTATTATGGAACAGCCTTGCTCGATCAGTGGGCCATTCTGTTCAATAAAATATCCTGCAAATACCACTCACTATCTTATTTATAACTTAAAAACTAGATTTAGTAGTTATAATTGTATTGCTTTTGATGAAATACAAAGTCATCAGCTTCAAAGCAAATGTCCTTTATACATTAGGAATATATCCAAGAAACAATAACTTTATAGTTGGATATTAATATTAATGATGTAAGAAAATTGCAAGCAGACTCCTCTGGAGAATCCTTGACATCAGTGTTATTTAAAGCTATTCTTTGTAAACCTTTGCTCAATTACTCAGGCTTAATCACCATTACCTTCTCCAAGTGACCTTCGTGAACCCCATTTGGGTATGTTTTGATTTATCTTTCACTCCTTATTCCTGTAAGATCAACTTTATGTGCTCACTGTAGTATTTCTCTTGAGAATTGTGATTTATGATCATTCCATCAAATTATTCTTCCCTTCCTCCCATCCCTAAGCACATGCACTCCCTACAGGAATATCAGCGGGTAAGGGGAAGGTAAAGGAGTTTAGAGCTTTATTGGGAATTTCTTTCTTTGGTTGGTGTCTTTTCATCTATGTAATTCACTCACAATACCTACTCACCCAGGTTCTGAGCCCAAACTTGTTTATCTGCTTGTCTGCCCCCTATTCATAGCAGCTCCTCTTCTGTACCCATAGGTAAATCAACATTTATATTCCATCTTGGGCAAATGTGCTCCTGGCCAGGATGGGACTGTGTTCTCTAAGTAGACCATGGGTTATAGTCATTATTCCCAGGACATAATCAGGATGGAGCTTCAAAGGACATGCGAAGGGAACTCTCAAGTGTCAACTCTTATGATGTTTTAAACTCCTTTTCACCTTCTTAAAAAATTCTGTATCCCCTCCCATAAACATTCTCATGTCTTCAAGCTTCTTCCTTGGCATTATCCACATGCGGCTCTCTCAGTAGCCATCAGACCTTGAATGTTGTATGAGAATCAGATACTGATTGCATTGGGATGGTGTGGGAAGATAGAATGCATTGGTAGGATTGATAATTGAAAATTTTTAACTAGCAACTAATATACAACATATATGTACAACATTCAACAAAGTATCCACATATCTGTTTTATCATTTAATTCTCATAACAATTTGTTCAGCGGTGATCATGTCTCTCTCTTAGAGAGTTTAAGTGATTAGCTCAGGGACATACCTAGTTGAGACTTCAGATAATTAGCAGGTATGGTTCTTTGTACTGTTGTATGGTTCGTGTACTGTTTCAGCTAGATCTGAGTTATTATTTAGTTATTTATTAAAAATTTTTTAAAGATTTTATTTAATTATTCATGAGAGACAGAGAGAGAGAGAGAGAGAGGGAGGCAGAGACACAGGCAGAGGAAGAAGCAGGCTCCATGCAGGGATCCCAAAGTGGGACTTGATCCTGGGTCTCCAGGATCACGTCCCGGGCCGAAGGCAGGCACCAAACTGCCAAGCCACCCGGGCTGCCCTGAGAATGCAGCTCCGGAACTCTGAAAAGCAGGTCAGTAGTTTGAACTGCCTGCTAAGACCACAAAGAAGATTGAGACACAATATGCCTTCAAGGAAGGCATGACATGGTTGGAAAGAACACACAGATGCATGAAATGGTAACTGACAACATAATTAAGAAAAGGAAAGTGGGAGATTAAAGGCAATATAGCCAATGAAGGGCAGAGGATGAGAAATCCAGGTGAGCAAGTCATAAGAAAACTTCTGGAGAACTGTTGACTTGATCCATTCCCAAAGAAACACTCTGTGTGGAGGTGTACATGTAGGAAACATATTGGGAAACAATGCCTTTTGGGAATCCTCTTCAGAGGATGAGTGGGCAGGGGGAGTTGCTTAACTGCGATGTAGTTGTAAATGGCCTCTCATTTAAGAGCCAGGGAGCCAAGATGGCCTTTCAGAGCGGTCTTAAATAGGGGCAAGAAAACCAGGCCTTTGTAGTTTCCACTGTCAACCAATCTGTGAGTGTGAGCTTCCTCTGGGTGATGATGTGACCTTGGGCCTGAGGGACTCATTTGAGAATCTTTAGCTGCCAAGAGTATCAGCAGCTGACAGAATGGGTGACTCGGTTCTAAAGGATCGAGCTGGGCAGCCCGGATGGCTCAGCAGTTTAGCGCTGCCTTCAGCTCCAGAGGTTTCTCCCTCTGCCTGTGTCTATGCCTCTGTGTGTGTATGTGTGTGTGTGTGTCTCATGAATAAATAAATAAAATCTTAAGAAAAAAAAAAGGATCGAGCTGGTGTAGTATCGTAGCATCCACCACAGGTGTGAATCCAGCTGGTCCTAATATCTGTGGGCTGGATTTGTGTGGTTGGAGAAAAGGGAAAGGGATCTTATGTTAGAAGGAAGTATAAGATGTTTTTTTCCCCTCCTAAGTGAGCAGAACATCGTGGATCTAAGAAAGGGTACACGTAGGCAAACGGGCAGGATAAGAAACTCGGAGGAGGGCAAGGGTCTTCTTGCAGAGAATCTTCAACATTTGTCATGCCTGTACTTCATCATTGTCTGAACAAAATATCACTTTTCAGCATATAATACCTATTTTTAAATATACATAATCTTTCACTGATACAAATGTGGGAGTGGAAGACATGGGGACCACTTGTAATATGAGCAAATTTAAAGTGTGATTTGGGATCATTTGTCACTTTGGCTTTCAAATTTGTTTCATTTCCTAACTGGTTATAAATGGGTCATAAGAGTACTGATTTTTATCTGTCTGGAGTTCGGCTATCCTATAAGATGAGAAATCAATCTGCAAATACAGTAAGATCTTGCAGAACAACGTTCAGGGTTCTGAAAGCTGATACCTCCCTATAACGTGTTCCCCATTTTTCAGAAAACGATGTCATTCTGAAGGAAACAGGCTAATTGACCCATTTATATTGGTTTCTAAGTGAATGAGAACACAGTTAAAATAGGGACATACCGTGTGTGTTTGGATAATGGGCACTTATTTGTCAGGTAATTTTTACCCAAATTGCAGGGACACATTAATTTTTTTACAGGCTGGGCATTTTGCATTTTAAAATGAGAGTGAAAAAAGAGGTAGCTACTGAGTGGGATGATGAATGGATGGTGGACAGAGCCAGGACTGAGCCCAAGCACTAGCTCCACATATTCTGTGTTGGATACTTTCCAGGGTAAATAATGAAAATGATGCCACTTGTCTTATTTTTATTCTTTCCATTTGTAGAACTGTGAAAATTACTATCATTTTTTTCTTTACTGAGCTTATTTTGAGGAGTTATTAATTTGGGTAAAATGCTGTAGATTATTTTGAGGAAAGTTATAGAAACAAAATAAAATAAGAATTCGATGTTTGGCAACTCAAAATCAGGTCACTAGTTTATAAGGCATCGTCATCTGCAAAGTAAATTTTTAGGGGTAATTAGAAGACTCAGTGGAGTTTTTATACCCTGGTGTACCTAAGAATCACATGGAGCTGGGTATGGCTTCTAGGGATTTCTATTTCAGAAGGTTTGATAGAACTCAGAAATATGCATTTTAACTTGTGTCCTGCCCCATTCTGAAGCAGATGATCTGCTGTCCACATCTAGTGATCACTATGCTTACATACGAAAAGTTTGTCTGAATAGGGGTCTGCACATGCCCAGGTCTAGGCAGGAAAAATAAATAAGAGGACTGATCTGGCATAAGTCAGTTAGGGCCTAGTGCCAACTCTGGCAAGCTGGAGAGCACATGTAAGAGGACAGCAGTGCCTCAGTGTTAACTGATTGTTGTCATGTGGGATTGTGAATCCAGCATTACCAGAGAGCCTGATTTTTTTTTTTAACAGATACCAAGAAGCTGGAATTTTATGTCTCTGAATACTGAAGTGTTGATATCAAATTGAAAAAAAACCTGAAGATGCTGCATGTCACAGATAAATCATTTATGTGTTGGCTTCAGTCTTTGAGAAGCCAGTTAATCCATCTGGTCTAAAGAAGGAAGAGATACAAGGCTCTGGGATTGTGCAGGGGGAGTTTTGAGGCTGTTAAGGCAGAGTGGTTTCAGTTCATTGTCTTTAGAGCAGTTGTGTTTAAACTACTCGCTCTATGGGGTGTTTGGGTGGCCCACTTGGTTGAGTGTCTGCCATTGAGTAGGTCATGACCTTGGGGTCCTGGGATCAAGCCTTGTATTGGGCTTTCTGCTCAATGGGGAGTCTGCTTCTCTTTTTCCTTCTCGAGCTCTCTCTCAGATAAATGAATTCTTCAACTACTTGCTCTAGAAATCACTTTGAGGGGGCAAACCATAGTGAAGCCATTGAACTTATTGCTACTTGTGATGCAAAAACTAGAATATTTGGCATTTAACAAGAGTAAAAATATATTTTTTTAAGATTTATTTATTTATTCTAGAGAAAGAGAGCACACATGAGCACACAAGTGTGAAGGGAGGGACAGATGGAGAGGGAGTGGATACTTAAGCAGACTCCCTGCTAAGTTCAGAGCCTGATGGGAGGTTGGATCCCAGGACCTGAGATCATGACCTGAGCAGATATCAAGAGTTGGTCACCTAATGGACTGAGCCACCCAGCTGCCCCAAAGATCCATTATTTTTTGTTACTTCCTTAGAAATTTTATTTTCAGAATTGGACAGACAACCCATTGCTGACAGTGTCGTTGGGTTTAGGAGATGGATTGGTTGGGATGGGCTTAAGGATTTGGGCATAAAGGTGGAAACTGGGTGGGAACCATAGCACGGGCAGAGTCTTCCTGGGTTCCTGGGACAGTCATGATGAGGAAATTAGATAAGAGGACCAAGATTCTAACCCAGTCAGATGGATACCCAAGAGTGCTGGAGTCAGAATGAAGCTGGGAGTGATACTTTGAATCAGAGGTCAGCTCATCATAGGGCTTTTTAAAAATAAAACAGTAGGCTGTATTAGAGAAAAGAGCAGTTATATGAATCTTGAGTGATCAGTTTTCCTCTAAAATATTATTTTATCACTTCTGTGTTCACAGGACTTAAAATATGTTTCCTAAGCTCTACCTTCTTTGTGGCCTTCTGTGGACACTGGCCAATGGACTTTTGAAGGGGAAAATGAACTCAGCCAGTCTCTTAATTGGAGGCTGGACCTTTGGAATGGCTGCTGAGGGTGAATATAAAATGGTATTTCCAAGCTTGCCTTCTTCATCCGGAGGCAGCTCAGTTCAGCTGCACTGCTGCCCATGTTGGCTGGGGTAGGAGGTGGTAGGGGTAGAGAGGTGGAATGTGTTAGCAGTTCCCAAACATGCCTCAACACCAGTCACAATTCAGCCAGGATGAGCTCATAATGCTGTAGTAATAAACAATCCCTGAATCCTGGGATATTCATGTAACTGAATGTACCTCTTACTCACTCAACGTTTGACAAAGTTAGTGGGGAATGGTGCGTGTGTGTGTGTGTGTGTGTGTGTGTGTGTGTGTGTGTGTGTGCTCACTGTGGTCACTCGGGGACTCAGGCTGATGGAGGCTTCATTTCAATGTGACTGCTTCAGAGAAGGGATTGAGCAGAGCCACTCACTGGCTTTTAAGTATCTGCTTGAAAATGACACGTCACTTCTCACATTTCAAAGGCAAGTGACATGGTCACATCTAAATTCAAAAGAGGCAGGAACATGCAATCCTACCCCAAGTTTATAGAATATGGAGATGGAGTATGTGTGAAGAGCCCTATGAAATACCACAACTCTCAAGATTCTGATTCATTCTGTCTTCCCCAATCATTCTAGCAATGTAAATTTGGAAAGCTCTGGCCCGTCTAGTTGATCTTTGGAGGACCTGCCCAGCTGAGGGTTGAGTCCTTTTCCTGACTTTTTTTTTTTAATTTTTATTTATTTATGATAGTCACAGAGAGAGAAAGAGAGAGAGGCAGAGACACAGGCAGAAGGAGAAGCAGGCTCCATGCACCGGGAGCCCGACGTGGGACTCGATCCCGGGTCTCCAGGATCACGCCCTGGGCCAAAGGCAGGCGCCAAACCTCTGCGCCACCCAGGGATCCCCCTTTTCCTGACTTTTTGAAGAGGCACCGTAAGTAGTGAGTGTAGGATTGCATTTGACAGACTTCCAGTCTGATGAACCACTTTTAAGTAGCAACTCACCCATTCTTCAAGAGGGAACCAAATGCAAAGTAATTGTATTTTTTATTTCTATTAACAACAAAATACTTACATAATTTCACATCCCATTGCTTTTAAGAGCACATATATTACAAATAAAGGAACTCCACAAACTTTAAAGATTAGTATTTATCAACATTTTTGTACACATACACAAATATTTTAATATAATGGTATCTGAAATGTTATTCATATAATTTTAGCACTGCCATAAGTATTAACTAAAAAGGTTCTTTTAAATTTGGTAAAAACCATATATTTTACAATCTTCTATTTACATTTGAAATATGCTTAAATGTTACAAAAACATTCACTTTGACCTTTAAAATATGTGTACTAGGACTTGGAATTGAACATATTGTAACTGACAGCAAACTTAGGGTTTGCTTTTGAGCTACACATTCATTGGAATTTCATGGCAAATATTCAGCTTGGCTTGATCAACGCTGCTCAAGAAAAAAAACTCATAAGAAATGTGCAATACCGGAGGCTGGCAAAATTCTCAAGCTAGCGAGGTAAAAAAAAATTATTAACACTATAAAAATTTCAAATAAATTAAATCGTTCTCTTCCCCAAGACGAGCTGCAAAATTCAGAAGATTCCCTTTGAGGTGCATCTGATGTAGCAGACCTCCCCTCAAACCTCGTCACTAGGTGAGATAGAGACCGTGGGCAGAGCTGGAGGCGCCCTGCTAACTACTGGGGGGCAGGTTCGCTCCGCTCCGCGCTTTGATGGGTCGTCCCTGCACATAATCTTGACAGGACAAAACACAACACGACAAAAAACAATTAAAATAGAGAGATTCATGTTAATATTGCCAAGCACAAAATTAAAACCCAGAACAGTGCTTTTTTTCTTCCCCAAAAGGACACTACGAGTTTTTGAAAATGAGCTTATCAGAGCAGTTCTGGAATTTTTTTTTCCAAGCCCATGTCATTAAGCATTTTGGCAAGATTTAAGATTGCTTCCCAATACTCTTCAACTATCAGATATAAGTCTATTTATAAGGACTTTACGATTGTACCCAATCATAAAGTGATTGGAATTTTCTGGCAAATTCCAAAATTTTATGTCATTCTGAAATTTTTTACAATTTATACTGTCAAAATGCCAACAAAGGGAAACATCCAAAAGCTCACTTAAAGAATGTTTGCGTTGAATGGAAATATAATAAAAAATACACCTGGACCTGATTTTGCTTTGAAAATAATATTAATGTGAGTAAATAATACCTTCCTGTCAGATCTGTGCAAATAATGATATGTAAATACAATAACAACAGGAAAAAACCCAGGCACTTCTAAAATGAATCTCTGGTAAAGAAGAGACTTCACGAATATTCCAAATTTCTAGTTCCGAAGCTTTTCCCACTTACTTCACATATTGTTATGGTTTAGCTTTAACCCTCTTCCAAGACAGATTAACACTTCTGTCTGCACAGAGCACCAAGCATCTCGTATCCTATACTGCCAATAAATTCTCCTTAGGATCAATGCCACAAGTTCTGCTTAAATAAATCAGTTAATAATGTGTCCATAGAGTATCTGAAACTCCCAGAGCAATATGTCTTTGCATCTTGCCTGCTTGGCACCATAGCAGAGTGGATCTGTTCCCTTCTCTGTATTTTATACTTGAGATTCATTACTGCCATTGAATTCACCGTGCTATCATCCTCAGTGCTGAAAGAGACTCCAAAGGAGCATCTTATATTAATGTTTCATCCACTTACACGTATCACTTTGGCCTCCAACAAAGGAGGCTTTTAGGTTTTTTGGCTACTTATAAAATAGTGTGGCATTCTGGCTGCCTATAAAGATAGTTCTTGTCCACCTGTCACTTTAGCGACCCAAAGTATTTCATCTCAACATCTCAATTTTATACACTAGCATCCACTTGATTCTATTGCTTCTCTTTCCTTATACAGAAGTTTCTTTCACTAAGTAGGTGGTTTCAGGATATCCTGTCAGCTAAGACTTTTCTGGACACTTTCGGACTGAATTGCATAATTAATTGTATTTCTGTTTTTTTCTTTTTTATTCCTAGGTCTGTAGAGTCTAACACTATTTGTATTTTTAAAAGCTCAGTGGTAGAATTTGTCTCCGCACTGTAACTACATATGTAACTTTTTCCAGAACATGTCATGAGTATAAAGGTATGTGAATGTATTCATGCATTACAGATTATGGCTTGTTCATGCGTTATAAGATTATGCTAAAATTCTACTGCTCTCCTCTCAACTAGAGTTTGAACCCAATCATTATGACCAGATGCCTTTTCATTAAAAAAAAAAAAAAGTTTGAGAAAAGAAGCAAACACTTTTTTGTTGTTGTTGTAAATCTGAACTGGAATAAATACCCATTAAAAAAATACTAAGGACTTTGCAGATCTTAACCATTGGCTAGCTGTTTCTGATTTCAGAAAATTATTCCTTACAACCAACGAATAGCACTTATCAATGGTTGTCATGAAATTGGCCAATTTTGCTCTAGATAACTTAGTTTTGCTAAGGATGCTTTACACTTATGATTGATGATTATTAACTAGTTTCTCCTCTGGGATCTCTTTTACAGAGCTAGAAGTTAATACTTTGTCTTCATTTTAATCTAGGTGGAAATGAAGAATGCCTATATAATAGAGTAAATCATTTTTAAGGAAAACTTTTTTTGATGGTATCATGTATGTTGTAGTCATTTACCATATATAAATACCAATATGAGAAATCCCCAGGACCAAGAGAAAATTTATCTTTCCTGCCAACAGATCTGTTTCTTTTACCGAATAATAAGATCTGTGCAATCCATCCATTTCTTTTCTTTGCATCAGTTTCCAGGAAGCACAAAGTCAAACTTTGTTTCTTTGAGTAAGGTTTCCTGGAAAAAAATTATTTTTCTCTCCTCTTAATCAGTTGCTTCTTATCTTTGTTTTGTTGTTGCAATTTGAGGTATACTGAATCCTTGTTTTGAATACAATTAAAGTCAAATATATTTTACAAATTAGAGTATGAATGTTCTTTTTAAAAGCTAAGTTGCTGGGGCATCTGTTTGGCTCAGTCAGTAGAGCATGCAACTCTCAATCACAAGATTGTGAGTTCAAGTCCCATGTTGGGCATGGAGCCTACTTAAAAAAAAGTAAAGGCTAAGCTTTTAACTTTATTTGGTAAGCTTTTTTTTTTATATCGACTTATTTTTTAAAAAGATTTTATTTATTTATTCATGAGAGACACAGAGAGAGGCAGAGACGTAGGCAGAGGGAGAAGCAGACTCCCTATGGGGAGATGCTCAACCACTGAGCCACCCAGGTGCCCCATATCAACTTATCTTGAAATGAAAATAAAGTTGTTCTAATTATACAAACACTCAGAGAACACTAGCCATTATGAAGGTGTCTGGGGGGATGTGAACAATTAGGAAGAGCAAGGTAGACCAGAAGGCCACAAAGGACAGTGTAGACATAAGGAAAGAAAAACATACCACTTTTGCTTATAGTACTGAGGGAAATACTAGACACAGAGGAACAGAAGCTGTACAGACATGGACCGCGACACAGCTGCCAGGAAAAAAAGAGAAAAGCATTTTTTGCCCAAAGTTTCAAGGTAATTGAATACAATTCAATTGCAATTGATAGTTGGATGCAACTTATAGTTGGAATGCAATTTATAGTTGGAAACAAGCATTTCTTCACTACCTTTTCCAGCTTTAAGATCCCCTGCTTGTTCTTTTTGTTTCACTCTCAGATTTATGATTACCCCATGCAATCAAGGCACCTCTCTTGAGTTTTTAATTCCCATCACCCTTTAATAGTCTCAAACCACTAATAATAATCCCTCATTGAGGAATTCTATCCAGGGAGATTAATGATCTCCAACATAAGTCAATTAACCAGTTTCTTTCCCTAGCTACTTTGGAGAGTTTAAAATGTGGATAAAAGGAGATGGAAAGGAAGAAAAAAAAGAAACATATGAGAAATGCACTTAGAAGAAAATATTCATGCATTACATTTCATGCTTTGTGAATTGTGTTGCTAGTGCTAAACCATTTAAAGATATGAAGGAGAGCTAATTTTTATTGAGTGGCTACTATGCATGGGGTACTGTTAGGAGATTATTCAAATTTTCCTGTCAATTATCCTGTAAAGGGCACATCGAACTCCTGGAGGAGACCACGAATAAGAAGATGTCCAGGTCGAGTGTGAGGGTTGATGGATGCTGAGAAGCCAAAGAGTAGCACTTGACTTTCGACCTCTTGATTCTCTGTATCTCAAAAAGTACTGTGATTAACGAATATCCTGATTTTGTGCACAGCCTTATGGAACATGCTGGATGCATGGATGACGTGCTGGTGGGGTAGAGGATTAAGTTTTACCCAATTTACCCAATTCTGCACGTCGTCAGGAATTTCCAGGCTCTGTAGATGCAGTCTCCCCCTTAAAAAGTCCCCCCCCCCCCACCTTAGACCTGGCGTTCTTCCTTAGTACGGAGACTCCTGGTGGCAGGACTGTGGAACTCCACCCCACGGCCAGGAAGGAGTTGTGAGGTCCTAAGTCAGGGGTGACAGGTGCAGCAGCAAACCTAGTGGAATGTCACCCAATATTCTTTGTCTAATGGGTTCCATCTATTCTCAAAAGCCAACAGCTCATATGGTTTGGATGAACATATCTGAAAACTTTGGAAATTACCTGGGTTCTCACCGTTTCTGTTTTTTTTCCCCCTATAGATTTTTCCCCAACCTGCTCTCCGCTTTGAGAGGCAAGGGGCGTTGTGCATGGAGGAGTGAGCAACTCAGTGCCGTGGTGTTCATGTGAAAGAGACATGTACAGTCCTTTTGTCACTGGGAATATAATGGCCAGTTTCTAGGAACTGGCAGCTTGGGCCGCCTCAAACCAAGTCTTACCTGCTCATTCATGATTGTGGAGAGTTCGCTGAGCATGTCCTTATAATGCGACCGCAGCTCTTCCTGGTACTCCAGCTGATCCTCCTTGATGAGCCGCTCATTCACGTCGAGGGCCTGCCCACACGCATCTGCAAATTGCCTTCAGAGACCGCAAGAAGCAAATTACCAGCTAGCCCTAGAAACTGGCTGCTCAAGGTCAGACTGCTGAGAGACTGCCACCTGCAAGAGGTTTGGTCAGGTGGCTCCTGCCCGAGGGAGCTCTAGAACATTCCAACAAAGAAAAACTTACCTGAAGATTTCCTTCAAAAGTTTTACTTGGTTGTCAGGGTATCTCTTTGCATTGGTCTCTTCAAGAAAAGCTCGTGCATAGGCCATTGGCCCAGCATTAACCTAATGGGGAGAAGAGAATTGGTTGAGGGCGATCCCATCTCCTCCTTGGATGGCGCCTTCTCCAGAGCTGGAAGGAGTAGCATCAATCACTCAGTACCCAAATCCTCTCACAGAGCCTGTCTTTATCTGCTGTCCCTCAACTCAGTGGTCAGTAAGCTCCTGAAGGAGGCATCTGAGTGCTGCACTTCACGGCCACCCCTTTTCAAACTGTCACTTGCCCATTGTTTCACATTTTCATCTGCACTCGGCTTGCAACGTTACATTCTTAATATCTTTGAAAACTAGGCTCATTTTAATTTACTGAAATAAATTTAATTTTAACATCCATGGAATCAAATGTTTGATGTGCTGCTTATTTTTTTTTCTATTCAGATTAAAGTAGACACTTAACTGTTAATAACAAACACTCAGGGGTGGCAGTGGTGATACACGCACCACCCTGGGAAAGGCTGTTTGACTGTATTCCTTGACAGTCCGGCCTAGACTGTGGTCGGAGGAAGCATTTATCAGATTTGCTGAATGAATGCACAATGCCAGGTCCTATTCACGCTCCGACACACGGGAGTAGGCTCACACTCGTGGAGGAGTCCACGGTCTTTAGAATTTCTCATCTACTGTGACTGTGGGGCTTGGAAGGCATAGGGTCACAGAAGAAGGAAGCAAGTACTGTATTTGAGCTGTCTTCAGATGCCCTGCCAGGGACTGCCAGCATGTAGAATGAGCAAACATTACGGATACTCTCCTTTGCTTCTCCAGATCCAATGTCCACGTTCCTCGACACAGCTATGTGCTGAGGGAAGCTGGCCCATTTGGAGAATAGCAATGTTTCTTTGGCCTTCTGGCTTTAAAATATTTATTATTATTACTATTTTGAGTCGGCCATGGGGGACACAGATGAGAGGTAGTCGGGGAGGAGGAGAACGGGTCAATATCAGGATCAGCACGACTGATTTTTCTTTTTGCCTTGGGCTCCAGTGTAGTCCCACCTGGCATGGTTACTGGCCTGCCTTTACTTAAAATGCTAACACTTGGTTCATTATAAACTTTTGGCATTATTTTGTATTTTAAAAAAATACTGCATTAATATTATTTTATCTTGCGTGCTAAGCTTTTTTTTTTTTTTTAAGATTTTTATTTATTTATTCATGAGAGACACAGAGAGAGAGGCACAGACATAGGAAGAAGGAGAAGCAGGCTCCTCACAGGGAGCCTGGTGTGGGACTTGATCCCAGGACCCCAAGATCACGCCCTGAGCCGAAGGCAGATGCTCAACTGCTGAGCCACCCGGGTGCCCTGGGTGCTGAGTTTTTTGATGCCCACTTAAATTTTGTACCCAAGGTGAGTGCCTCACCCGGCTTTCCCCAATCCTAGCTGGTCAGGGGGTTGTTCTGGCCCTGGGGTTTCCTCCTTGAGAATCCTCTGTCTAGCAGCTGCATGGCTGTCTGTCTCACCTGCTGGCTGTCCCAGCTTTCTCTCTGCTTCCATTCACTCTTCTCTCCCCTCACTCTTCAGATCTAGGGGCTAACAGCCCCCTCAGTATTGTAAGCTCCTGAGACCATCTTGTTGGTTTTCCTAAATACTGCTTATACTTTTAGAAATGGTCTGTTTGGGGATCCCTGGGTGGCGCAGCGGTTTGGCGCCTGCCTTTGGCCCGGGGTGCGATCCTGGAGACCCGGGGTCGAATCCCACGTCGGGCTCCCTGCATGGAGCCTGCTTCTCCCTCTGCCTGTGTCTCTGCCTCTCTGTCTCTCTCTGACTATTATGAATAAATAAATAAAATCTTAAAAAAAAAAAGAAATGGTCCGTTTGTTATATTTTCTTTAATTACCCACTGTGAACAGGCCATCTGCTTCCTCTCAGGCCTCTGACAGTCAAATAAATACCAGCACACATCTTATGAATTAATAAACATTAAAAATTGTTTTGAACACTTTCATAAGGCTCTCACTGGCAGATATTTATGAGAGAGCCACGTTTATTAACCATTAGTCACTTCATTTGTTAGATTTTAGAATACAGAACATAGCTTATCCAGAGAAGACGGGAGAGGAGGATTGAGGAAGAAGAAATTTCATTTTGGCTAAAATTAAAAAAGGTTTATTTCCTCGTGTTTGGCATCGTCGATGTTTTTACAATGAAACAAAATTTTTAAAGTCTCAGATGAAGTTTCTGGATGGTATCACAAACGGAAAATTGTCTCTTCTACCTTTTGTAAAAAATTTCTAGGGTGTTGTATATCAGGTTCCACTGGCCCTGTGCGTCGCTGCTCAGGACAATGCCTACCTTCACGCTGACACTTCCTTGGACTTTGAGCTGCAGTCTGATCATGTCCACTTCCTCCATTGTGCAAAGCTGATTAAGCTCAGACACTTTCTTGGACATCTCATCAATCGCCACTTCAATAGGATTCAGTTCTGTGCTCGATTGGCTTATGACTTGTATTCTCTTCTTCACGTAGGGGAACAGGTGACTTGCTGCACAGAAGCAATGTGAGAGAGATAAAAATTAAGGGTTAGTGAAGAGTCCAGGGTACCTCCGAAGGTCCAGATGATCGTGTATCATTTTTTTTGCACACAGCATCTTCCACCTGCACGATTTCTGTAAATGTGGGTTATTTTTCCTCTGGTGTCTCATATCTCTTAGCTTTTGGCCCAGCTACTGTTGCCTGGCTTGCTCTTGCACGCGTGGCTAGCCAACAAGTCCTCATTTTGTGGGCTGGATTAAGGTCTTTCGAGTCTCTGAACACTGAAAAGATGATAGTTGCCCCACAACTTAAAATTCAAATAAAAACTACACTAAACCACACTAAAGAATGCTTCAATATATACTCAAAATAGCATATATTATAATAGTTTTGTTCTAATTGTTTTTTTTTTTTAATGATAAAAGTTCTGGAAAAGTTTACCAAAGATGAATGTTTCCTATAATCTGGGTCTCTGCGATTCATGCATCTTTCGAGAAAACCAGGACTACTCATCTCTCAAGACTCATCCAGAATACCCTTGCTCCTCTTTCTCCTTGATCTGCCTTAGGGGCCCCTGTCCTGTGCATTCCCACTTTCTTTCTCCTGCTATGCCCACCTGGATTTCTGGCTTTACTTGGCTTTTTCCTACCAGAGCATGAACACCTTGAGAGCCACAATTGTAGTCCTTTTATTTAAATTCCCAGATGAGTGCTCAGCACCTAGCAGGCACTCATCGAATGTGTGTTGAATAACTGAAAAGATGACTAGCTCATAGAATAGATCTAGATGGTACGAGAAGGGATGTGTGTGTGGGGGTCATTCGCTGCATTCAGTTTACAGATGAGGAGTCTGAATTCCAGAATGGTGTAGAATCTGGCCCCCTAGCACACAATTCTGCGAACTGCTAACCCTGGTACCTGGGGACATGCTCAGGGAGAGAGCAGGGGGAGGTTGGGAGTGCCTTTCCAGGACACTGACACCACCATGACCTTTATGGCCTTAATGCTTAGGGGGAACAGGTGCATAAAGTAACTCTGGACAATGCCTCTTCTGGTTGACTTCCCAAGGGAGGGGAAATTGCACCCCCCCAAACATTTCTAGTTTAGCAGGTACCAGGTACTTGTCTGCAGGCCTGAAATGCCTCGAGATCCACGGAGCCCCCCAAATAGAGGGGTCTGCATGGCAGTCAGTGGCAGGCCCAGCACTTACTGGTCAGGACGGTGCGCCGCTTGCACTGCTCCTCCACCCCGCCGTGCTTCTTGCCCGACAGCGTAAAGGGCGTCTCAAACACGAAGCGGTTAATGTTGTGGTGCATTTCAAAATCTGTCTTCCGGTCCTCTATTTCCTTTTCCTCAAAGAACGGTGTGACATAGGTCACCTGGATGTAGGCATATTTGGGGTCCAGATCCTTGGGGTTTACCTGCATTAACACATTATGGTCCAGGAAGGCGTGGTGAGCTACAGGTGCTCCTGAGAGCAAACGGGAAGCTCTACATTCCACCAACTGGCATCCCGAGGGGCCCAACCCTGACCCCTTGGGGATAAATAGGCCATCCTATCATTTCAGAGCTGGGTGAACTGAAACCACAGGACAAGTAAGTGGATGGCCCGTGGTCAAGCAGCTAGATGGAGGACCGGATGGAGCCAGCCCTCCAAGTAGCTGAGGTTTTCCCAAACTTAAGTACCTGGCTATGGCACATCGTTTCATCTTTGATTTTCTTTCTCTTCTGCAATGAATGTCCCCGCTTGTCTAAAATACAAGCTTCTTAAGAGTAGAAGTATATCTCTTTGTCCACCTACAATTTACCATGTAACTAGACTAGGCCCATGGGCTCTGGGCTTATAATGTGGAAGGAGGTTCTTGGCCTGTTGAGTGGATTCACTGATTCACTGATCTCATGATTGCAAATGTTTTCATTTTCAGTTACTCTAGTTCCTTCTCTTATCTGCAGTAAATCATCCTATATAGTTTCTTTCCTAACTCTGCTGTGGTGACTAAGCTTCTCAAACAGCAGCGGAGGCAGGCCGGAGGTCCCAAGAACAGCCAGGGAATGGCTCTTGCTGTT